AATCCATACTTCGTCTAAGCTTTCGATTGTGTTACCCAAACTCCCATAACACAGAGCAAAGCAAACTGCACAGACATCCCAGTGACAGCTTTCAATTAAAGTATTCATCAAAGAGAAGATGAAAGAACTGGAAAATGGAAAATTCTTTACCAAACTAGAGGTTCAGAGCTTCTCCATTCCCACACTAATTGCCTTACTCGTGCCTTCGTTACTCTTTTTGCGTTGCTGCCCCCAGCGTGGTTCTTTCAAGGAACCCAGTTCAAAGTTCTCATTCACAATCGAATACGCTTCGTAAAATGAAAAAAAAATAGGTTTTTTGCCGCACTATTCTTCCTTTCACTAGTTACAATATCACTAAGCGGTTTAGCTTCGAAAAGTTTTTCTTTATTTAATAAGCCAAATCATTTTTACGCGCAGACACAGACGCAGAAACACATACAAATGCACATCCACGGCAACAACAATTCAAATAACTGACTACTGCTTCTGTCTTCTTTCTTCCCCTCCCTCCCTCCGTTATTTGGTCCCCAGTCCAAGTCTTCCCTTCCATATTCCATCCGCCCTTGATATCAAAATATAAATTGATTTTTTTCTTCTTCCCTCTTTTATCTTTCTTTTTCCTCTACTCTCACCAAAAAACTTTAAAATTCTGAATTTCAGACATCCTGAAACAGAACAAGAAATTAGAGTTGGAAAAACAACAGCAACAGAAGAAGAGGTATAAAAACGCATCAAACGACGTTATTTTTCAAAAAAATATCATGTCAAAACAAAAGAAGAAGTAAAAAGTAATAAACCTTCAAGTAAAGTATTGAATAATGGAAAACTTTTTAAATGAAATCACATGACCGAAAACCCATATTTTTTGGTGAGTATAAATAGTCTTGGAAAGGGTATAATGAGAAAGATTCTTAAAACAGAAGTTCCTGGCAATCTTTTTTCGTCGCAGCTAATTACTCGCCTTTTAAAGTCTCACTTATCCACTTTCTATTTGCTTCACTTTAAGCAAAATCCAGATGTTTCAAAAAACATAACAAGAAAGCAGCTAACCAGGCATGTGAGATTCAGACCTCCTTTATCCTTCCTTTTAAAAATGATATTTGGTGGCTCTTTATTCAATCGAATGCCAAATCCTTCCAGTTCACGCTCCAAAAGCTTCTTGTGCATCAACGGTTTCATTACATCTAACACCATCAGTATCAGGGAACATGTTCGAGCAACTAAATGTTCATACGTTTCGCTAAGTTATTTGCACAAAAACTTTTAACTAGAAAACCTACCTAAATACATATTTCTATAATTAATACTAGTTAAAGTAATCCTGTAAAATGGTCCAAGAAACCTTATAAAAGTGATTAAAAGTTAAATCTATGAGATGTTGGTACGAATTTTTAGCACTACAGATTCCAATGCATCTTGTGTATATAGTTGCTTTCCAAACAATTTTATACTAAAAAAAATGTTATGAAATAAAGCAGCTGGAAGAAAATGTGAATATACTGATCACAGAAATCGAAAAAAGCTGAAAACATTAATGTAGAATGTGAATAGAAGTTGGAATAAATGAGAATAAAAGAAAGAAAGTAAATGTAATTAAGCCTTAAAAATTAATCGTAGTTTAGCTGTAAAAAAAATTTTATCAAAGAAAAAATTTCTACCTGATACTAAGAAAGAACAAACAGATTGTTCTAGAAATTAAAGAAAAAGAAAGCAAATATTAATTGGATATCTATAATTTTTGTCCTTTAAAAACCGTCCCTCTCCTCCTTCTCCATACGAAAAAAAAGCCCGAAAAGTCATTATAAAAAAACTCAAGTTTTCATTTTTTATGCTGCTGCTGTTAGCCGACGTCATTCTTCTTTGCTTTTGGACTTATTTTTTGTCACCAGTTAAGTTGAATGTTAAAGAAATCGAAAGCGACCCTCTTTCCTCTCTTTCAGAAAAAATTGGAAGAAGAAAAAAAAAAGGAAATAAGGGAAACAAGAAAAAAGAAAAGAAAATGAAAAGAAAAGAAAAAGGAAAATGAACTTGCCTCAGTTAGCGACAACAGATCAGAAAAAATTTTCGCAAAAAAAAACCAATGTTCCCCGAAAAATAAAAACATATCCATCATAACTGAACGACAACAGCAGCAGTGTTTCTACATTTATATTTGTCCATATGTATGCATAATCATCATCTCCAACAGCTACACACTACACAAAATGATTGCAACTCAGTAACTATATGACCAAACGGCTTTTATTAACTCAACTGTTATTTAGCCCGTTGAGAACAGTGTAGAATGTCCATTAAAGATCTGAAAAGACAAAGAAACAAAGAAAAAAGTTTTAAAAAAATGTTGTAATACCGGCAATAACTTGTCGACCACGTCCTTTACCATCTTTAGCACCTTCGATGATTCCCGGCAAATCCAAAAGTTGAATTTTTGCTCCTTTATACCGGATGACACCCGGTACTGTTGTAAGGGTCGTGAATTCATAGGCAGCAACTTCCGAATATACACCGGCAAGGTTACACAATAACGTGGATTTACCGACCGATGGAAAACCTATAATTTATCATTACAGTAAACCCTACACTTTTTTTATTCCTAAGTCTTTGCTTTCTTTCCTTTTTTTCATTTTCTTCCGTCAGTTTTTTCTTCTACAATTTTTTCAGTTCAACCACCCACAAAAAAACCGACAATTCTCTTCTAACTCCTTTTTCTTGTCTTCTTTAAAACTATTATATGCTACAAAAAATTGAATAAAAATAAACAATTAAATAATATAATTACAGAGACAAAAAGAAAATGTTTTACAAACAGCAACAAAAATAACGCTAGCAAATATAAAAAATAGAGGAAAAAACGAGAGACAAGACAAGATGAACAAAAAAATATAAGAGCAAAAAAAAAGATTCCCACAAAATGCGATTTAAAAGGAAAAAGAAACGCAATAAAAAAATGATCTACTTTGGAAATCATTGATATATTTGTCTACGCTAAAATCTCTTTGTATCCATTTCCATATCGTGTAATCATTTAAACTTCAAAGGAAAAGCAAACAGAAAGAAAAAAGTTACAGACTTTATGAAGACAAAAAACCTCTCCGTATATCCATGCATTTTATTTGCCTCCACGTATGTACCTCCCTATATGCATTACTGTGCCGACATATGAGTGAATGTATGGATGTATATATGCTTATATGAATGCATGTATGTATGAATAGATGAATGGATAGGCAGATGTATAGACGTATCTGTGAACGGCTAAGCCTATAAATAACTTGAACTCAAACAAATTAACATCTACCGACGGTTTAGCCTCGAAAAGAACTTCTAACAGAACCATAATATCCAGATTAGCGAAGAATAAAGTGCTTTATTCGAAGGATAAAAAAGGCAATGTATTTCAAACAAATGAACTCCTCCTTCCTCCCCCTCCCAACAAAAAAAAAAGACACCCAAACCCAAATCGTCTTTTTCAATTCCTTTTTCTTTTGCTTTATTTTCAAACCTCTAAGGAGATCAATCTACAACTTTATACCATTTACTAAATAATGCTAATGCAGTGTATTTATTTGTCTATCTACTCGTGTCGGTGTTGAAGAAACCGATTTCTCCCGCAGAAAAAAAAAAGAAAAATTTAATGTTTTATTCTTCTAACTTCGGTTAACCATAGTCGCAGCGTTCCAAATAACTCTTTTCAAGAGTCTCAGAAAGAAGAATTGTTTTTCTCTTTTACCTATAATGTCTTCACCGTGAAAAGAAAGTGCTGGAATTTTAAAGCAGGCAAAAAAAAAATCAGCTGAAAATGCATAACCTGACGAACAGAAATAGAAAGTAAACTGTGACGATAATCGCATTAGTCCTAAAATGCAGTTTTACCCATAAATCCTGGGTACACTGAAGTAACTTAAATGCACTTGAAAAGATAAGTTTTTCAGAGAAAAGTCAAACTAGAATTACAACTGTGAAGAAGAACAGATTCATCGGTATTGCTCCTTAACCATTACCACCCCCAACCTCCAACAACAACTACAGCAGCAACTATAACACCGCCAAACGACAATAACAATTTGGCAAAAAACTTTGATAGTCTTTTTGAAAAATGGTCAAAAACCATTGCAAAAAAAAATTGATCACATTCAACAGCACATAACTACTACCAATAAATCTTTTAGAAAAAGAAAAAAGAAGAAATTGAGAGAGCAAAAAAAAAATTTTCATCATTTTTTTGCTCTGTTAATACTCAACAACTCAAAAACTAATTTCTTTTCTTCTTTTATTTTTTTGATTGCTTAAAATATTATCATCCAAATGCAGTAAAATGTTGCAGTTTTTTGCTTTTCGAGCCACCAAATTGTTGTAATCCTCTCAACTATCGAATCTTTACTGATCTTCCCAATTTATATACTGCATGCCAGTTTGTACTGATAAATCTTGCTAATAAAATTAGATTCAAGAGTTCAGAAACATTGCTGATGAAACGTGTCAACCAGTCGACAACAACCAAAAACGGCTCTAATACACTAGAGATACCAATTGTCTTCTCCCATATCGGACAAGCAAAGAAACAACAGCAGTAAAGTTTTTAACAGATGAAACATTTTTTTTCTTTTCTGGCTTCCCTGCTAATGCACAGCTGGCTAACAGCTATTTATGCCTACACCATCATCGTCGTATCTGCTTACGAACAACCAAAAGACACATCGTTTCTTGCGGAAGCGGGCAGGAAAACGGGGGAAGGAAAGAGATGGACAAGGAAACAACTCTGATGACTACACAACAAAATTTCAACAATCCATTTAAAACCACCACCAATAGCAGCAGTTGTAGTAGTAGCAGCAGCAGCAACAACAACAACAACAACAACAACAACAACAACAACAACAACAACAAAAAAAGCTGAGGTGAAATGTACAAGTCAATAAATCCACCAAACTAGCCATTAATCTCAAACAAAAAAGAAAAAAGTGAATAAATTCCAGTTGCATATCTTTTAGCTAATAGGAAAACTATGAGCAAAATTGAAAATTGAAAAAGAAAAACCTTTTTAGTTTAAAAAATCCTAACAACCATTGTTGTCGCTTGAAATAGCTTCAAACAAGGATAGTTTTAGCTTGCTCTTTATCTGAATTCAAAAAACTATGCCTGCTGCTCAATGAACACCGGTAGGAAGAAGACGACGGCAAGACAGGAAAAAATCAACTGAACAAAGAACAAAAATTCAATCAGAAAAATACCACAACAGAATAAAAAAAAAGTGTCAAGCACGTACAAAAATTTTTTCATTTTTTTTTTTTTCCAGAAAAGACGATCGACTAAGCTAAAAAAGAGTGAACTGAAAATGAGGAAGAAAAAAAGATAATAAAAAGTATAACAAAAAATAAAAATAAAAAAACTAGCTGCAACTTAAAGAAAAAACTGAATGCGAAAAGACAACTCCAAAAAAATCAGTGGATTAAACAAATAACGTAAAGTTTGAAAAGGCCTAGAACCAAACTAACAAAAGAAAAAAAAAAGAAGGAAAAAAAGGAAAAAAAGAGGGGGAAGAAAACCCCATGTTATGTATGTGATGAGAATATATTGGGCGCTAGAGAGTTTTAGTGCTTCGAGACTAGTATAAGCGATGAAAAAAATGTATAGAGCAGAAAAAGCCGAGGGCCTTGTTGCTTTGCCGAGACTTGTGCTTGCTAGCCTGCTTACTTTGCCTGCCTAGCCCGCCTGCCCATCGCCTTTTGTTGCTGTTGGTGTTGCTGTTGGTGCTGTTGCTGTTGTTGCTGCTGTTGTTGTTGCTGTCGCTGCTGCTACTGCTCCTGCTACTATTACTACTACTGCTGTTGCTGTTGCTGCTGCTGCTGCTGCTGCTACTGCTGTTGTTGTTGTTGCTGCTGCTGGCTTTCAATAATGCATATGTTGGTTAGGGACCATTTGGGCTTCAAACATGCGCACAACTCTGGGTGATAAAGAATGTGTTGTTGTTGTTGTTGCTGTTATTACACTTTGGCTAGCTTGTATTCTTGACAGAAGTTTAGCTGCCTCAACAAGCGGCAATCAAGGTCAACGGTCAACGTCCGGTACCAAAACCGGACATTCGGTACCAACCAATCTAGCAAAACACCATCGTTCTAATCAACATCGTCAACAAGTTCGATCTATCACAACAACTACCAGTACCGCCATTAGCAGTAGTAGTATACTGATATGTAACAATGGAACGGTGCACCAGTGTTTGTGCCATTATTCAGAGGCTAGCAATACTGTTGATACACCAGCAAACAGTAACGCACCTCCACCACCACCATGTATTAACCTTGTTCAGGTAATCAGTTTTCCTTCTCCCATCTTTCTTTAAATATTTTATCATTTTCCACTGTATGTTTGTAGCTATAGTCCTATTTTCCCTTCCTCCCCCTTATCCATTTCCCCTCTCCATATCCCGCATCTTGAGTGGCAGTTTAGGTACGAAGAAACAAGATGGCGAGAAAAAAGAGCTTCTTTTTTTTGTCTGCTATCATATTCCTAGGCAATTTACCTCGTCAAACGCTATTTATCTGATTTTTTTTTTCATTTGCTCTTTCAGCAGTTTCACTCGTTTTCCTTTCTTAAAATCCATTTTCGTTTTATATGTGTATCTCACAAGCATCATACAATTGTCAACAGCGGAAAATACCAGCAAGAAGTAAGAAACATCAGGAAAACTCCAGTATTAACCCCTACTGTCGTAGTCAAAAAAAAAAAAA